TAGTCTTTGGTCCAATTTTCACTTGTTTCGGTTTAGGTATTTCAACCTTTGCCAAACACCCCCACACTTTTAAGTATTTGTAGGTAGGTCTATGACCTTTCCATAACTCATATGGCGTTTTGTCGTTACCTTTGTGGTGTAATTTGTTCAAAATATAATTTGCCGAAAGAACCGCTTCCCCCCACAAGTTTTGGGGTAAGCCCGAACTTATCAAAAGAGCATTCATCATCTCTTTTAGTGTCCGATTCTTTCTCTCGGCCACTCCATTAGATTGTGGTGAATACGGAGCCGTCGTTTGATGAATAATACCGGACTCTTTGCAGAGCATTTCAAAGGGGGCTACATACCCGCCTCCTCTATCACTTCGAATCGCTTTGATCTTTCGACTAAGTTGATTCTCAACTTCATTTTTATACGTCTTAAAGGCCTCTAATGCCTCCTCTCTACTTGTTAATAGATAAACGTAACAATACCTTGTACAATCGTCTATGAATGTAATGAAATACTTCATCCCCGCTCGAGTTTGTACAAATTTTAAATCACATATATCAGTGTGAACTAACTCGAGTGGACTAGTGCTTCTCTTTACCGGTTTAAACGGTGCTTTAGCCACTTTTGCTTCAACACATGTTTCACATTTGTTGTGTGAATCAATTTTAACTTTCGGTATCAATTCCAAATTCACCAATCTTTTAATTGTGTTAAAGTTCACATGTCCTAATCTATCATGCCATAAATTAGAACACTCCAACAAATAAGAAATACTTTCTTTATTCTTCGCTTCTTGGCGGATAACATTCATTACATTCATCTTAAAAAGACCCTCATCTAGGTACCCTTTCGCTAAGAAGACACCATTCTTAGTCATTACAAATATATCGGCCTCAAAGACTAATCTAAAACCGGCTTTGCTCAAAAGAGCACCGGATACAAGGTTCTTACGGATGTCCGGGACATGCAGCACTTCCGTTAGCGTCAAATCTTTGCCCGAAGTCATTTTTAGCACCACCTTTCCCATTCCCACGACGTTTGATGTCGAAGAGTTGCCCATGAACAGCTTCCTTCCGTCGGTAGGGGTATAAGACGAGAACATATCTCTATCCGCACAAATATGCCGAGTTGCTCTCGTATCGACCCACCATTCTCGTGGATTATTAACCAAGTTAACTTCTTGGACCACGGCGGTTAGATCGAGCTCAGATAAGTCAATGGGAACAGATTTATCCTCGGCTATATGTGCGCTATCTTTACCCTTCTTCGGGAGACGACAATCTTTCGCAAGATGCCCAGATTTACCACAATTGTAGTAATTCCCTTTGAACTTCTTAGTGCTCGTTTGAGGTTTCTTTCCCTTTGAAGTTCTCTTGCGCTTCTTATTAGAGCTTGACTCGGCCAAGTTTGCCTTAGCCTCGAAGTCACTCCGGTTGGCCCTTACTTCAGATTTTTGATTATCTTCCTCAATTCGAAGTCGAACAATCAAGTCCTCTAATGTCATCTCTTTGCGTTTATGCATGAGATAATTTTTTAAGTCCTTCCAAAGTGGTGGTAACTTTTCAACAATAGCCGCATCTTGGAAGGCCTCATTCACAATCAATCATTCGACCAACAAATCGTGAAAGATGATTTGAATCTCTTGAACTTGGCTAACCACCGACTTAGTGTCCACCATTAAGTATGTTAGGAATTTGCCGATGAGAAATTTCTTAATCCCGGCATCTTCCGTCTTGTACTTCATCTCCAAGGAATTCCATAACTCCTTTGTCGTCTTAATCGGACTATAGACGTTGTAGAGAGAATCGTCTAGTCCGTTAAGGATATAATTTCTACACAAGAAATCATTGTGATGCCAAGCATCCGAGGCCGTACGCCTTTGCTTGTCGGTCTCGCTTTCGGGACGATCAAAAGGTCCTCCGAAAGAAAACGAGAGAGGGAGAGAGTTGTGAGGTAGAAAAGCATCTTTTGTTGCCACCTCTTGAAATCAGAGCCATTGAACTTCGACGCTCTCTCGCCTTGGACAGGAGCAGCTACCATCGGTATAGCGGTAGGTTTAGCATTTGTTTGGTTTTCTTCGGTTGCCATCTTATGAACTCACAATATTTCGTCTTAAGATTGTAGTTTATATTTTGGTATGTGAATTTCAAGAATGGCTTTAGAAAAATAGAAGGAATATTGGTTAAACGAACAAAGTCGAGGCACGTAAGATATGCTCTCCTTAAGACGAAATAGCCCTGTATATTACCCACGTTCACGGCTAACGCCTCCAAGATACAACGACTTTCGATTTGTGTATAGTGGTAACTCAAATACACAAACCTCCGACGAACAATACTTATGTTTTGAACTCTCAAGATAGGAAAGAAAGAACAAAGAACACAATATGAATATGAACTTTGTAAAAGGATGCAAATGTTATGAAAATATTTCATTTTAATGACCATTTCACTTCATGGGTATTTATAGATGTTATAACACATTTCCAGGAGGTTCAAGGCATCAAAAGACACCTTTTGGGACGTACCCGGTGGATTAAAATCGGTTAGAAACCATTCCAATACGAATAGGTGCGTCAGTGTCGCGAGCTCGTCGCGCCCGCGACGCCCTGTCGCGTAGGACAGAAGCTCCGACAAAGTAGACTTTCGCGCCGCGACGGGTCTTGTGCACAGAGTGTCGCGCCCGTGACGGTCGTCACGCCCGCGGCGGGGCCTGGCGCGCAGTTGCGCTCCGAAAGCTCGTACGCGTTCGTTCGGACTCGGAATTTAGTTCCGTTTTTTCCTACTTGTCCCCAACGAGCCCTTCCACAATTCTA